CATCATCATGTCTCTTGAGATATTCTGTACCAGCCAGCGCTCCGCACCCTCCAGTTATGTGTTGAATAGACTCGAACGTGCTGGCACAGAGCCTACACTTGTCTGATACTGTCTGTTGCTTCAAGACATGTCTCGCAAGTAAGACCTCGTTGCTATGACCTGATCTTGGATTGCTATCAGAAAGCACTCTGTCTCTGGAAACGGATTTCCTTTAACCAACCAACTAGTAGAGAATGTTTTATCTATTTCAGTTTGTTGGAGTTGGGTCTTCCATGCAGGGTTTTTGACTTCCATTCTTCCAGTTGGCCATTGTCCGTGAAAATTATGGATGCAGCAGTTTCTGGAGTGGCTAATTGTAGTGCTTTGTGTCCATGGTTGAGATTGTACATTATCTTATCAAAAGGTACTTCACTTTGTTTGAAGTAATCTCTGAGGGTCAGTTCTTGTTTCCGGCACGCCTCTTCAATGTTTATGAGACCTCTCTCACCTTCCTTTCTTGGTAAATAAAGTCTTGCCATAGATGCAGTCGGGTGATGCTTTCTGTATTTAGTCATACTCGTCCGTATAAATCCATCCAATTCCTGGAGTGTAGAGCATTTTAAAATTCCGAAACTGTAAGAAATGGCTGGTATTACCCACGTATTCACATCTTTTATTTATGAACCTGAGGATAGGTGTGTTGTAAGAATAATTTTCAATCTCCTTTTCAACGATTCTATCAGTCTGTTTTTTGCCTCTTTGCTCGCTATTTTAACATACTGTTCTATCTCAAGATATTTATGTAGCTCTTCATTTTTTAGGTGTTTAATATGCAATGCTTCATTAAATATTTTCTCGGTGTTACTTGGCTTCCCTTTAATCACATTAATAACAGCACATTTCTCAATACCGAGTAACATGTGTATTGAGCCAATAAATTGAGTTACAGTAATTAGCATAGATTGCAACTGAGATTTGTTCTTTGCATAAGTTTTTAATCGTCCATATAAAAACTGTGTGTGATCACTGCACTCAATTCATTGAGTTTTATTTTGTAACCGTTTCTCTCTCGATTTAATAAAATTGATAGATGGAGCCATTGCAAGACAAAACCAAAGGGGCTTGATGCAGTCTCCCTGGTATATAACTCTCGAAATTTTAATGTACTCCCGAGGGTCTGTTGATTGCTCATGTCCTATCCTCAATCTAGTTTTGCAGCAGTTCATCAATTTCTTCAGGAGTTCAGTTAAATGGAACGTTATACAATTCTAACGCTTTTAAAAGCCAACTGTGAACGACCGAGTCAAATGCCTTTCTGTAATCAATCCATGCTATTGACAAATTTCTTTTATTCGTGGTCGTTTGGCCTGTAACAAACGAGTATATGAACAACAGCTCCTTACATCCTTGGGCTCCTATCCTAGAACCAAGTTGCTCTGTTGGGATCAAATTATTGGATCGTAGGTGACACTCAATCTTACTCGACAGAATGGATGTTAAATCTTATAAACTCCGTTGAGACAAGTAATTAGCCTGAAGTCTTGTGGCCCCAATAGGTCTCCCAGTTTTTTAGGAATTAGAGCGGTAACACCCTGAGAGAACGTGTTAGGAATGTCTATTTGTCCTCTCGTAATTTTTTTATAATTCTTAGCAAGTATTTCGTGCAAACAGGTTAGGTTTTTGCAACCAATAATTTTGAATTTTATCACTGCCCGGCGCTTTCTTTTTTTCATTTTCTTTGTTGCGATGACTACTTTTTCTATTGAAATATTCAAATCAGACATTTGAGGTGCCTCCTGAAGTTTACTGTTCACTGATTTTAGCCAGTCTATTTCGTCATAGTGATCTACGTTGTCCTCCCAAAGCCTCTTCCAATAGTCGATTATATCATCTGCTAACGAGCAATTTACACCTCTCTTTTTATTTTCATCCAAGTTCCGATAGAACTGAATCTCACTGTTTGTAAATCTTTTGTTCTACTGTTCAGGGATCATCGAGGTTTTATAGCGCCGTATTCTGTTAGCGGTAATCCCGATATCCTCGATTTCTTTATCCATAATGGTTTAGGTGCTCTCAACCATTCCGTTGCCCGTCTTGACGAGCTTTCCTCAGACCACAGCCCATTAATACTCCAAGTATCACTAGCTCCTATTCCTAAACCCTCTCCTCCGTCCTTCATCAGAGGCCCAGTTAACTGGAAACTCTTTCATCAAATCCTCTCCGATAAAATTGACCTCAGAGTAACCCTGAAAACCTCTGAAGACCTGGACAATGCAGTACATTCCTTCACTACCAAAATTCAAGAAGCAGTCTGGACTGCTTCCTCCCCTGATCACTCCTCAAAAATCCTTAAGAAACATAATTTACCTCAACACCTCCTTGACCTAATCCACATAAAACGCCGTGCCAGATTATTATGGCAACGTACCAGACATCCAGCCGACCGCCACTCCTACAATTATCACTGTAAAAAATTAAAACAAGAATTAGCCACCTTCAGATCCCAATCATTCAATTCCTACCTCACCACACTCTCTGCTCATGATAATTCCCTTTGGAATATCACCAGAAAAATCCTCAAATCCCATCATATTTCCCACCCTCTTCGACGAGATGATGGCTCCTGGGCAGCATCTGATGAAGATAAAGCCGAGGAATTTGCCAAACACCTTTCCTATACTTTCGCTCCTCATCCAGAATCCCATCCCAGCCACACAGTAAAAGTAGAAGAATCCCTCTCAATACCTATCCCACTCTCCTTACCACCTAAAGCTGTTAATCCCTCTGAGGTCAAATACCTTTTACGGAAAATCACTCCTCGCAAATCTCCTGGATATGACCTTCTAACCCCACAGATCCTTCGACAACTTCCATCTAAAGCCATCATATTTCTTACATATATATACAATTGCATCCTACGAACTACCCACTTCCCTCTTTTATGGAAACATTCCACCATCGTCCTCTTCTTGAAACCAGGCAAACCTTCCAACAATACAGCATCCTATAGACCAATTAGCCTACTCCCAATCCTCTCAAAAATTTTTGAAAAGATCCTACTGAAACGAATCCTACCTATAATTGAATCCTATAACCTTCCTACTCATCAATTCGGATTTCGTTCCCAACATTCCACTGTCCAACAAGGACTCCGAGTTGTTGACCATATATCCTCAACCCTAGAAAGCAAGCAGTATTGCTCGGGTGCATTTCTGGACATAGCGCAAGCTTTTGACCGGGTATGGCACGCCGGATTACTCTTCAAGCTTAAAATCCATCTACCACAGTCCTTATACCTAGTACTCCGATCCTATCTTTCCGACCGCTCCTTCCGAGTTCGCTGTGGCACCGAATTCTCCGACTGTTACTCAATTGAGGCTGGCGTTCCTCAAGGCAGCGTCTTGGGCCCATCCTTTACATTCTCTTTACCGCTGATATTCCTGTCCATCCCGATACCCTCCTGGCAACTTTCGCTGATGACACTGCTATCCTTTCTTCCAACTCAGATCCTGAAACAGCGTCCGCAAACTTACAAAGGCACCTCTTCCTGATTGAACACTGGTGTAAGAAATGGCGCATTAAGGTAAACGAATCTAAATGTAAACACATTACCTTCACCCTTCGGCGTAATACCTGCCCACCAGTTTATTTTAACTCCATCCAGCTTCCTTTCTCAGATACAGTCCGGTATCTTGGCTTTCTCTTAGACAGACGACTAACATGGAATCCACATACTAGACTTAAAAGACAGGAACTTAACAGACGATATGGCCAGCTATATAGACTACTGAATAGAAAATCTAAACTTTCTGGTGAAAACAAATTACTGATCTACAAGACAATACTGAAACCCATCTGGACTTACGGACTAGAACTATGGGGAACAGCCAAATTTTCTAACATCAAACGCATTCAATCCTTTCAGTCTAAAGTCCTCCGTACAATAGTCAATGCTCCCTTCTATGTAACCAATAAAACCCTACACCATGACCTTAATATCCCATTTATTCTTGATCTTATCCCAGCCAAATTTTCCAAATTTCACCAGAACCTTTCTCATCACCCAAATCCCGTTGTACAATCCCTATCAAGCACCACCCATCCCTACAATCCCCTTCGTAGGTTAAAGCGGCAGTGGCCACGAGACCTTTTGTAAATATGGATATTTTGGAGTTCTAGCAATGGCCAGATTCTCCACTCAAGTCATGAGTGTCTGTGGCTGTAGCGCTCTTACTCATCCTCCGCTGGTTTACAATACCAGTGAAGTGGCTGAGGGAGAAGCGTAGGGATCTCCTAAGCCTCCCTTTTCCCTCCACATGTGGAGGGGACAGGATTGGTTCGGAGATCACCTGGCAAATTGTAAATAATGTATATAGGTATGTTTTATATAAGGTGTTTGTTTTACTTTTATTTCTATTTTTATTTACTTATGTGTATATATATATATTTTTTTTCTTTACTCTTTTGTTCTTTCTTCTTATTCTTTTGTTATTACTTTATTTATTTATATTTTTGTATATACGGTATGAATGCAATCTCTGAACTCTATTATAAGTGTCCTTAAACTGTGACAAATTGTAATATTTCTGAATAAAGTGTTTTAATAATAAAAAAAAAAATTCTGTTAGCGTAAATTGCAAGTTTTTGCTGTATTAGATCAGCATTTAAAGCAAGTTTTTCGGTGTGCTCAGATTTTAACACCATTATTATTTGTAGTACAGCTATTTCATCCATCCTTCTTTTTACTTGCTCCAGCCGGATTTCTAATATAGCTTGCAATTACCCTAATGCTTGACCTTGGCGAAGCTATTTTATTTTCTAATCTTCTCTGCCAACGTGGGAGTTTCATATTGCCATTACCTTTCTTTGGTTTATCTTCTCCTAAACCTAGTTCGATAATAAAAACTCTAACTGCAACATAAGCCCAATGACAAACAGCTTCAAGGTCCATTTCAGGGTAGTCAATAAAAATGTTATTTAAAGCTTCATTAACGTTTTTCACAGTCATCCGGGATCCAAAGTTAAGGAATCCTTGATAGGGTGGGTCTAACATCATGTGGTATTCCTTCATAAAGCATATGCTGGGATAACAGTGACAGTATCAGTTTTTGTACCTCTTTGTCTTCTTCTGAAGACACAGCCTCTATCGCCAACGATCTTTCTATGAGTTCTATAGCATCAGTCGGTAGCTCTTCATTCTCAGCAGCTATTATCCCTAGTCGTGCTGATACGATTGCTTTTATATTATCCATTTCCACTGCAGTGAGAAATTTTCTCGATCGGATTACTCTAACCTGACCACTGAGTCTTTTTGTACTTATAGTCATATGTGGATAAAATTCTTGCCAATTGTGTTGAATCCTGCTGAGGTATCCTGTCTTGTCTGTTTCTAATTGTGTTGCCAAAAGATATGCCTGTATCACTGCCTTGTTCACTGTCTCTGTTGCCGGATTCGTGCGGAAGGAGAAATAGTCTCGCCAAAGCCCAAACACGAACTAGTTGCCGGTTCTTGCAGTCTTGTGGTCCATTGCGAGAGGATACCTGAAGGAAGCTGTTGAAGGTTCCCGCCTGGTGCAGCTTCATTCCCAGGCGCGTCCGAGGCTATATGTCGATTTCTTGACTCCATTTTTGATGGTTGATTACATTTAAAACCTTCTGCCAGGCCTTCCTAGGTTAGTTTTCCCTAGGGTGTGTACTGAAAATGCCCTAGTGTCGGTGTTTATGTTATCGTGTGCTGTAATGTGTGAGTTTGTGAACGGTATGATGTACTCAGGAACCCGGGGGAGCGTAATACCCTAAAAACTACGTTCATCAGTTGCCCTATTATTATTATTATTACTATCTAGGTTTCAGCGTTTGCCAAATTGTTAACTTATTTAAAGAAAATAAAGAACAAATAATAGAATAGCATTACCGCTATTTTTGTAGACCTAGAGCGCACCATTGGGATCGAATATATTTATAAATTAAGACGTCTATACTAACGTCTATAGATTAAGAGAAATAGTCCAATGCCATAATTGTCAATCTTATGGCCTCCTTAAAAGTTATTGTCACCAAGTACCGCGCTGTGTGAGGGGCGGGCAACAACACAAGTCAGAAGAATGCAATAAGTCTAGGCAAACTCCTGCAACCCACACGATTTGCAAACCATCAAGTCTCCTATGCTCAAACAGCCAACTCAATCTCTGGCCCTGCCGGAAACTAGAAAACAACCTCTTGATCCACCATCCCAATATAACACCCAAAAGTCAAGTCCTCACCAAATCTATATTCCTCCCCCTAACGATTCCAATGACCTTACCATCGTCTTTACATCATTCCTCACCGAGAACAAATCCCTCATCACTCCGCTAATCTCCCTACTTACAAATGTCATAGCCAATCTTATCCCACCGCTAATAATTCTTTAAATTTCGTCAACAAGACCCCTTTCCATTCTCCTCTGGAATACGAATGGTGTTCGAAACCACATCAACGAACTAACTTTTTTTCTACCGGACAATAACATTGACATAGCCCTAATAACTGAGACCCGACTAACTAACAAACGACAGTTCAACAGCTTTTTTTTCTCTTCTTCCCTTCCTCGCCTTTTAGGCTATACGAGATTTTCCCGGGCCGTGAGGGCGGGAAATTTTAAAATCCCCTCCGGCACAGGGACGCGAACTCGCCACTCGTGACGCGAACGTGCCACTTTGGCTTGCCGAACGAGCACTAATTTATTACTGATTCATTATTAATCAATAGTTAATAACCTGAATATATGTGACATAAAATGAACTACTGTTTATATAGTCACTGTTGATATAGTCTTACAACAGAATTTTAAATAATAACCACATTACATAGTAACAAAGACAGAACGACGTGAATCTTCAACTGCATTTGCGGCCATTACACTTGCTACTTCTTATATCGATTAAATCCAAAAAGTTACAAAAAGACTGTACCCGGGGTCACTATCTCAAATCCGACACTATTTTTATAAAAAGTGTCCCCTAAAACACAATAGTCGACCCTGATACCGGTTAAACTTGTAAAGATACAAAAAGGCAGTACCCGGTGGCACTACCTCAAATCAAAAATTATTTTCATAGAAAGCGCCTCCCAAAACCTAATAGTCGACCCATATATCGATTGTATCAGAAAGGTTGCAAAAAGTCGGTACCCGGGGACACTACCTCAAATCCGAAATTATTTTCATAAAAAGGGCCCTCCAAAACATAATTGTAGATCCAAAAATCGATTAAATCCGTAAAGTTACAAAAAGTCTGTACCCGGGGGCACTATCTCAAATGTTACTTTATTTTCATAAAAAGTGCTCCCAAAACATAATAGTCGACAATGATATCGGTTAAACCGGTAAAGTTGCAAAAAGGAGGTACCTGGTGGCACTATCCCAATTCCGACATTATTTTCATCAAAAGCCCCCCCATCCCAAAACCTAATAGTCGACCCTGATATCGATTAAATCCTAAAAGTTACTAAAAGTCGGTGCCCGGGGGCACTATTTCAAATTCAGTATTTTCATAAAAACTTTCCCCGAAAACATGATAGTCGACTCTAAGATTAATTTAATCCGAAGTGTTAGCTATTAGCTTTTAGTAGAAGTTATAGATAATGCTAATTAGCTGTTAGCTATAAGAAAAGCTAATATTTAAGTTAAGCTAAAAGTGAGCTTCTTGGTCCCGCTAAAATCTTATTTAGTTGCAGAATTATCTGCCCGCTAAAAGCTAATTTAGCAGTTAGCTGTTGGCTGTTAGCCATAGATGATTTTTGCCCAACTCTGATATATAGAAACTATAAAAGGTCCCGAAACCACTGTCGTTTTAAACTTCTTGGAGGATTATAGTTATGAGTGGTGGATAGGGGATAGGAGTTGTGCAAGGGGATCCGGATAATAAGTAAGGTTCTGGTGAAATTTGGAGAATTTTTCTGAGATAAGGTCTGAGAAAAATGGTATATCAAGGTCATGATGTAGGGTCATGTTGGTCACATTGTAAGGAGCATCGACTATTGTTCGATGGTCTTTCGACTAGAGGATTAGAGGCGTTTGGTGTTAGAAAATTTAGCTGAATGAAGGCTCCTGAAATTTTAAGACTTTAATCATCTACTTCTTACTGAAGCTCAAACTTGGTCCAAATCTGAAGAAGAAAAATCCCAAATTTTTGCTCACCACCTCTTCAAAACGTTAATTCCACATCCTGATATCTTTAATCTAAATCAGCTTGAATTTATTGAAGCAGAACTGGATATTCCACTCCAAAGGACTCCTTCTAAATAATTCCATCCTTATTCCAGAAATATCCAATATAATTCACAGATTACCCTCCAGCAAAGCCCCTGGCCACCACCTAATCACATCCCATATCCTTAAACTACTTTCTCGAAAAGCCATTTTATTCCTTACTTACATATATAGCACCGTACTCCATTTCACAAATTTTCCTGATCCTTGAAAACTATCAATTGTCAAAATAATAAATTAACCCAAAAATCCACCGGAATATCCATCCTCTTATTGTCCCATCTCTCTTTTACCCATCCTGGGAAAATCCTAAAAAATCTCATCCTAAAATGCCTGTCAGCCATCCTAGATTCTAACCACATAACCCCTGATCACCAATTTGGATTTCGTACATCCCATTCCACTATCTATGAATTCCTGACCTACAGTATCCTTTAATAACACCCCACTTATCCCTGTAGAACAAATCCGATACCTAGGACTCCATCTGGACAAGACTGAAACGACAAGAAACTGCTCGCCGTTACCGCTTACTTCTACACTTACTAGACAAACGCTCTGAACTTCCAATTAATTACAAAAGACTCATATTAATGACTATAATAAGACCTACTTGGACTTACGGAGCTAACCTATGGGCCTCCAATAAATGAAATTCCTCTCGTATCCAATCCTTCCAATCCAAAATCCTTCGTAAAATCCTCAATGCTCCTTACTTTGTCACAAATAAAATAATCCATAAAGATCTTAATATTGCATATGTTTCCGATTTGGCCCAATCCAGATACCTATCCTTCCATAATACACTTCATAACCATCCGAATGGTCTCGTTTCTAACCTTACTTCCTCTTCGATTCCTGAAAATACTCTGAGGCGTTTGAAAAGAAGATGGCCTCGTAATATCCTTTTGTATACATATTATTAGTAGGTAGTTTCCCAACAAGCGTTTTCATGTGATATACCTGTGTATACATTTACTTGATGTATTTATATTGTAATGCAGTTGTAAATAAATAATGACTATAATTAACAGTAAAAGAGTTGAATTTAATAATAGGAATAAACACAATGAAATTGCCTAAAATAAGAATACAAAAATAATTAACAAAGAAATGTAATGGAATATTATGAGATAAAAAACATAAGTATTAGACATAGAATAAATGGGGTGACGTTGTTACTAAAATATAATGTATTAGAATGCTACAAAGAAATGAGATAGACATAAAATATTATGTAAAACAGAGAAAAGAAATATGAAGATATATATTTATTTTATTTATTTAAAAATAAAATAAACTGACACGTGGACAATGATTACAGTGAGATATGAACACATCCACACCATACATACAGAAAACATAAAATTAAAATAATAATCAAGCAACTATGTATAATAAACATATAAAATAACCTAAAGATAACTAAATTAACAACACAAAAATTCAGTCATACCTATATACAATATATACTATCAGGTAGGGAACTCCAAGCCACTCTTGTTCCTCCAACTATAGAGGAAAAAGCAAGACATCCGTGCGCTACTCCCTCAACCGCGTGACAGGTGCTAAAGCCAGTGAAGATTGAGCGAGAGCGCTTTAGCCACATACACTCATATCTTGAGTGGAACATCTGGCCATTGTAAGAACTAGAATATTTACAAATTATATATACACACACACACACACACACACACACACACACACACACACACACACACTACAAAAGATCTCTTGGCCATTGCCGCTTCAAATTTCGAGGAGGATTTTAAGGATGAGTAGTGCTAGATATAGATTGTGCAAGGATTTGGATGATTTGTAAGGTTCTGATCGAATTTGGAAAAATTTTCAGGGATAAGTTATAGGACAAATGGAATATTAAGGTCATGATGTAGTGTTTTGTTAGTTACATAGAACGGAGCATCGATATTGTTCGGACGACTTTGGACTGAAAGAATAGGATGCGTTTGTTGTTAAAAATGTTTATCTGTCCCCCAAAGTTCGAGTTCCTAGGTCCATATAGGTTTCAGGATTGTCTTGCAAAGCAGTAATTTGATGTCAATTGAAAGTTGAGATTTTCTTTTCCGTAGTCCGTATAATTGGCCATATATTCTGTTGAGTTCTTGACTTTTAAATCTATTATGTGGATTCCACGTTTGTTTTGGTATAAGTGAAAACCAAGATACCGGACTGTGTCTAAAAAAGGAAGCTGGATGGAATTAAAGTAGATTGGTGGACAGGATCTGCGCCGGAGCGTGAAGGTAATGCTTTTGCATTTGGATAAGTTTACTTTGATGTGCCATTAATTACACCAGTACTCAATCAAAGAGAGGTGTCTTAACAGATTTAAGGATCTGAGTTGGACGATAGGATAGCGGTGCCATCAGCAAAAATTGCCAAAAAGATATAGGGATGGACAGGGATATCATGGGTAGAAATGCAATAAAGGACGGTTTCCAAGACGCTACCATGAAGAACACCGGCTTCAACTGGGAGTGAATTGGAAAATTTTGTACCACAGCGAGCTCGAAAGATGCCATTAGAGAGGTAGGAGTGGAGGATTAGATACGAGGACTAGAGTAGATGGATTTTCAGTTTGGAAAGGAGTCCAGCGTGCAATACCTGGTCAAAAGCTTGAGCTATGTCCAGCAATGCATCCGAGCAATATTGCTTGCTTTCTAGAGCTGCTGAAATATGATCAACCACTCGGAGTCGTTGTTGGATTTTGGAGTGTTGTGAACGAAAAGATTTTTGACAGGATTGGTAGTTGGCTAATTGGTATGTAGGACGTCGAGGTGTTGGAAGGTTTGCCTGGTTTTGGAAATAGTAGTGGAATGTTTTCACAAAAGAGGAAAGTGGGTGGTTTTTAGGATGTTAAGTATGTGAGAAATATAACAGCTTTAGGAGGAAGTTGTAGGACGATTTGAGAGGTAAGGAGGTCTTATCCAGGTGATTTACTTAGAGGATGTTTTTGAAGGTGATGTTTGACCTCACAAGGATTAACTGCTTTAGTGGGCAAGGGAAGTCGAAAGGGTGATGTAAGGAATTCTTCTACTGTTGTGGTATGGGGCAGACTGCAGGATCTTGTCTCGATTTTGTGCACTTTGCTGATTTGTGTTCTGCACTTTACTGAACACCCTAACCAACTCTACAATTATTAACTACAGTCAACCATCAATTCACTATTACTAAAGTTTTATAATGGACTGCACAATATAAAACACAATTCATTCTGACAAGACAATATATTGTAATATGGTTTCTGTAGCTGCAACGGATTCCCGCCTCTTGCTACAGGGGAATACTAGTTCGTCCACCCGCTACCAGGCAGCGCCGTATACGCTCGCTCGACAATGTACCAAAAATTGAATTTTTATTTCTTATTGTTATATGATAAAATACTAAAATTGTAAATTTAAACAACTCTTGATAGCCGGTTTAGTCTTTGCGGAATGAATACCACAGTTCTTTCTCAATGTTGTTAGGGCCTCGGATCTCCACCCCTTCAGGATGTAGACCTTTACGCAAATGATCAGTATATGCCTCATATACGCTTTTTGTTCTCATCTATCCTTTCTTCTATTTTACACTATCCATTAAGCTTTTATTCTCTTTTCTTACTCCGTGCAAGTTTGAACGCTGATCCGTCCGTTTGTATTCCTATATACTAAGTCAGGAGATTGATCCTTCCGTTAGTATTTCATCCTCCCACAAGTTCGAGAATGGATCCCTCTGGTTGTGGGTACCATCCTTGCGGAGTGTTAAGCTTGATCTCTTACACCGAAGACCGAGAGTGATTGGGTGCTGATCCGCCTCACTTAAGGTCATCATTCTATACATCTTCCTACATCTATTTAGACATCTTACCCCTTAAATACTGAACACGCACTGTCGAGGCCTTCTAGTGACTGTATATATCTTCCGTGTACAATACCTCGACATATCTTTAAGTACCAATATATATATATATATATATATATATATATATATATATATAATATATATATATATATATATATATATATATATATATATATATATATATATATAAACCTTTTTCCTCGTAACGAACGTTTATGCAGTATCCATAATTTAAAAATATAAGTTAATTTTTCTCACAAAAAAACAAAACAAAACATAATTATAACCTTTACATAGTAACATATTTGGGAATATTCGTGGTTATTTATGGCTGCTTTAATTATATCGTGAATGTCGGACTCCGCGTTCTACTCTCGCTTAAATGATGAACAAACTGCCTATGGATCCTTTTTTAACTGGCCTTACATAAGATCTGATATGATCCAAGAAGACCTAGATGGAATCAGTGCCTGGGCAAACTTAAACGGATTAAGATTAAAAGCTTACTAAAACTCAGGCCATTATCGTTGGTTCCAAGCCCCTTCTTAGATCTTATTCTGACTTTCCTATACTAAACCTTGATGACCAGCCAATCTCCTTCTATTCCACTGTAAACAAATTTAGGATTATTCATTGATCAAACCCTCTCCTGGAATCACTATATTTCTAACATCTCCCGATGAGCAATTTCTACCCTAAAACTATTTCATCGCTTCCGTCATATCCTACCTCAACATACGCGTAGACTCTTGGTTTCCTCTCTCATCTTCCCCCAAGGAGTTCCGTGATAGACTTATGAACAGCTACGTAAGATTTGTAATTGGTGCCCCGAGATACTCCCAAGTGTCTCACCACTACACTGAGTTAAAGTGGCTCTTCCCCTCCATTCGAAGACAATATTTCATAGGTACATTCCTTTACCAAATCATCAACATTCGTCGTCCTTCTTGCACCTACAACCGGCTCCGATTCAAGTCCTTAGTCCACACCTTTTCACAAGATCTCAACCTTCCGACATTTACATTGCTTCTCACAGATCTGCCTCGTTCCAAAACTCGTTTATTGCACGGTATGTTAATTTTTGGAATTCCCTTCCTATCAAAATTCGACATTCTCCATCCCTCTCTACATTTAAAACCCTTTTATTCCAATTTCTATCCCAAAAACGGTCAGATACCCCCCGCTAACCTTTTATGTAAAATTACATATTATTCAAAATGATTCACATAACGATACATTTACATATAATTCATCAATTAAATATTTACTATCAGATTCGTCTTATTTTCCTTCTTCTTTTTTTTCAGAAACACAGAGTTTATTGTTAAGAAGAATGTAATGTATTTTTTATTTTTTATTTTTTTTTAAGTGTATACTTATGTTTTACCACTGTACATAGTTTTAAGTATCTTGGCATGGTTCCAAGTGTTTTGTATATTTTATTTTATTTATTTTGTACATAGTTTGTTTTACTAATATTGTCTTTACTTTTTTATTTTTATTTTTACTTTTTATGTTTGTTTTTACTTAGGCCAGATATAATATTTTAATTTTGTACTTTTTTGTTATTCTAAAGGGACTTAGTCCCAGAATATAATTATTTTCTATGCTATTCTATTCTATTCTATGATCCATCGCATGGTTTTTAAAATATCTAACATTTAATATCTACCTTCATGGATATTTTATTATTTATTATTTGTAATTAGGTTCGTTCTTCATAAGAAATAAATATAAAAACTTTCGTTATATTATTAATTCGTTTGACAATATGATAGATATACAAAACTCCAAGCGAACCATTGCCCTAACAACCTAATTATAGTGAAGTGTTGTAAGTGTCTAGGGAGCCGTGAGGCGGCCTTCACCTACGGAGTGGCGAGTGCAGGAGTGGCCTACTCAATCGCCGCCTCCTGCAGCAGGGGCAACATCTCCAGCTGCGGGTGCGAGCCTGGAAGGAGGCCAGCCCTCGCGTCCAACTGGAAGTGGGGAGGTTGCTCCGTCGACATCGGCTACGGCGTCAGATTTGCCAGGAGGTTTCTCGACGCAAGGGAGATAGAAGGTGACGCCCGCAGCCTCATGAATCTCCAGAACAACAGGGCTGGAAGAACGGTAAGCCTCTGCAGTTACTTTAACGTTAAATATTGTTTTCGATTTCGATATATTTGCGCACGAATTAACGAACTCGTACAACAGTGAAGACTTTGAAATATACTTTTATTGTTAAATATAAAGTTATATTGACATAATCTTAATGAACTTCTTACAAACTAGCCTTGTGAGGCCTAAACTAATGTTACATAAGTTACATCTACTGATATTTACAGATGGAATGATGGAATTGAATGGAATGAATTTCTCTAATATTAAGGGCGGTAATATAGCCCAACTCTGGGGTGGGGATAGGATTGGTCGGAGGAGGAGAGGGGGTGATGGGCGTTATCTTGGTTTCTAAGAACCAATTAGGGGTAGATGCCGGTAGTGATACTGGACAAAGGATATTCAGAAGTAAAGTAATAAAACTTCTCTAAGGGCGGAAGCCTTGACAGTTCAAAAGGAATCCGATGGACAACTGCCTGATATTCGGGGTTGTGACATTGACAGCTTTTAGAATCAGGGCGGATGCACGTCACATAAATATACCACATGGTCAAGATGCCCACTTCCAAACGGACTTATTCCCACGGACAAGGGTCACAGGATATTATAACTCAGTGGTCAAAGCGAGCGTGCTTAATTGCAACAAGATGTGCCTTGACCAAGGATATAGCAATATTCAAAGAATTGTATTTGCAAAGGCTATTGTCTTTTATCTCCTCCGTTCTACAAGTGCAAAGTCTCTTGCAGCACTCAACTATACTGTTGGTTTAATTGAATTTCTTTATACCATGCTTGGGCCCATCCATCAAATTAAGGGTAATCAGGGGTAATCAGGTTGTGAGGGAAAGATAGGGTCCATAGGTATGTGGTTAACAATTACATTTTTTACAATATTTTGTGACTACTTATATCTATAAATTTCTAACCCATCTTTTTTTTTTTTTTATTACAGTTTTGATGGTTATTTATATTATAACATCTAATATTTCTGTTGAATATTAATTTTAATAACATCAAATTTTCTTTGTTTTCTCGATGACACTAGAATAATAGATGAACATGATCATTATACCAAACAAGTAAACTTACTACAAATGGAAAATGATAAATAAATGCAATAGATATAATATTTCTATTCAGTCAATAGCATAGCTGATTCATTCCTAATTTATGTTATCTAATAGTAATATAATGTATCTACTATTGCTTTAAAACAATAAATAATAATTAATTAATATTAACTTAATATTATAATATTTAGAATATATTTACAACTTAATAAACTAGTGCATGTTAGCTTAGTTTCATTTCTAAGTTTATAATGTAATTTAATGAAATATATAATTTTCGTTTCTTAATCATTTTACTTGTAGAGATAGAAACCTCTCTTTTTTTTTTTTTTCATAATTTATATATAAGAGTACAGTAATTTAATTTGTTATGAAAATAGAAAATATTACAGTTTTTTTACACCAATGGGTATACAATGAGATTATGATATATGGTTATTTGTTATTCTTAATTAGTTCTTGCTAATATCATAGAATAATATTGATATTAATTTTTTTTTAACAGGAACAATTAAACAATAGCTATTTCTATATCGAAAACAGTATTCCTCATTTAATAATAAGTAGCAATAAATAATTTAATCTAACTTTATTTTATTATTATATATACCTTTTTTTAAAATTAATAATTGTTTTGTACTCTGTAACTAATTAGTAATTAGTATCATCGTTATTTTCCTTTCTTCACTTTATTTAACAAAAAATAATTTAGCTAAAGTTGTTAATTGTATATATTATTATTTTGTTACATTGTATAAATTACACGTTTTTAATGTATTCAGAAAATTAATAATATTTTTATTTTATTTCTTTTCTTAAGTGATTTAATATTTAATCTCATTTCAAGAAATAAACCAATTTCATTATAGGATTTTATCTCCTATTTTAATATCTTTAAAATTAAAAGTAGGATACAACATAAACGTCATTTTTAATTATAATTGCATACATTATACCAATCAGTTCTGTTAATTTGTTTCTTTTTTTCTCTTTAAATGTTTTAGTTATATTTTCTTCTACAAAAGTCAAACAAAAATCCCTCTCTTTTTTTCTTTTCTTTTTAATATAATATAACAATATGAACATTCAATTCTTCGAGTAACAATATCTTGAATACACACAAATGCTAATATATATAATTATTTATTTTAATGTTAATCCAGGAATAATATTATATTTATTTTATTTATTATAATTAACTCAAAAGAAAAATTAAATCAACGGTTTAATGATGAATATGATTTTTAATTTTTAATCTTCTGTTTCTATGATAAAATGAAGAATGTGAAACAATAAAAAGTTAAATACGCTTGATAATTATATTTAAAAATTATATACAATCCGAAACGCCATCCTAAGTATTGAAAAGTAATGTTGCAGTACATTTACTACTAATTCTTCTTACTATGTTTTACATTGATGACTTAAACTTTATTTTTTCAAAAATAGTATCTAGTTTGATCTTAACTTTTAATTTTTGTCTTGCCTTATGTTAATTATAAATGGATTATAATTAAATCAAATGATGATTATTAGTAAAGTATCGATTATTAATAATATAGTTCGGTTATAATTAAATAAAAATAATTATTGGTAATATTAGTGATATTATTAATTAACGTGGATTGATTATAATTAAATGATTAGAATTAAAATAATAACGATTATCATTAATATAAATTGATTATAATTGAGCTAATTGATTACAATTAAATTAAATTAAACGGTTATTATTAAAATAATCAATATTATTATTATATTATTTAATATATTATTATTAAATAATATTATTATTAATTGATTAGAATTAAGTTAAACATTATAATTTAATTAAATGATTATAATTAAATTAAGTAAATAATTGATTATTAGTAATATATATAAATGAATGATGATTATCAAACCTGAAAATAAATGAGGTGATAATGATTCCATTGATTCATAAAAATCTATGATTCCCTTTTTCTAGTTTTTCTTAAAGTATTTGTTTTTTTTTTCATGTTTTGCTTTTCTTATTATTCTTATTTGTTTATTTATACCTATTTTCAAACTTTATGTTTTTTCAATTATATTTGTTCCTAAGACCAATTTATTTTTAATCGTTTGTAGATTTTAAATAAAGTTAATGAATACATTATTTGAATTTCAATGAACTTTTATGTAAAATATCTGGCTAAGATTTTCATTTATTCGTACTTGTTAATTATTTATTCCTGTCTAAGAATAAAGTTTATTTTTTTAATTATTTATTTTTTATTATTATAACACATATTTAATATTCTCTTTTAGGTTGTTTAAATTAACTTTTAATAATTTTTTTTTTATTATTAAAAATTTTCATTTCATCAAACCATTTGATTCAACATTTTTTTTTTTTTTTTTTTTTTTTTTAATCTTAAGGGTTACATTACTTTTGTTATTATTTTTTAAATTTATTTATTATATATATATTTTTTTTAAATAATTAATAATTATTTTATTCATAATACCTTTTTTTTTTCTAATTCTCTAATTTTACTAATTCTCAATATTTTTCTTCTAAGCAGTAAAAATTAACATAATTTTTAAGTGCAGGCAAACACATTAGTTGATATAAACTATACAAAGCAGTTCTCAAAAAATAAGTTTTTAAACCACTCCATACATATATATTTATTTTTTTTCTAATAATTATAATATAATTTAATACTCATAAAAAATTATTGCCAAAAGTAAACGAAAAAAATAAGAAAAAATTAACCTATAAAAAAAAGTTTTTATTTTATTTTATCTCCATTATGACCAAAGAAGTTAAACAAGATGATCACAAGATAATTTTTTTTCTTTTATATATCTAGAATGTAGTTAAATTTATTATAACTTGTTTTTTTTTTCAATATTTAGTTTTCGTTGTTTATGTTAATTTTAATTTTATTATTATTAAAGTGTTTATGCTTTTTATTTATTTTTATTATTAGTCTGTTTCTCCTTTTTTTTTTTTTTTCCTTTTTTTCGGCTACGTTTATTCGCTTTAGAATTTCTATGTGGTTTCAACATCCAAAAATAAATTGAATTATTGCCGAAAGGCCATTTATGATTTTTTTTTATATTTGCCAGTATTTTTGTTTTTAATTTTCTTATAATATCGCTTAAAGCGATAATCTTTTCTTTTTTCCTATTTTTTTGTTTTTTTGTTAGTTGCCTATCTGTAAAAAGTGAATCATCACTTCCTAAATAAAATTTTAGATGTTTATTGGTAATATTTGGCTGTTTATATTGATCAAATATTAACTTTGATACATCAACTTTTAAATTACTATTCGTCTTTTCTTTTAAGTAATCCATGTTTACTACATTTATATCAATGATATTTATACTATCATGATCAATAGAATTTTCCGCTTTACGAATTAATTTTTCTTCACATGAAAGAACTTGTTGTTTAATTGATTCGGTTGTACTCAATTCTTCAACTAATACCGTTGGCATTGACACAACCTCTTTCTGTACTATCTATGTAAAATTAACTTCTGCATTTAGCGATTCTATTGGATAAAGAAATAATGGGGATTCAGTAACAGTTGCCGAATTATCTAAGATGCCTTTTTCCGGAATAGGAATATCATTATTAATATTAATATTATATTCAGGAGAATTTCTTTTCTCCATTTGAATTTTTAGTTGATTATCATTTTTTTCCGATTTTATTGGGCATTCAAATATTTCATCTGATTCTTTTTTATTCTTTTTGACTTCGTTTGGCCCTAATTCGCCTAATTTTTCATTTTTTTCGCCGTCTATGACTGAAAAATTATCGCTTATAAGGGGTTCTTTGTAAAAACTATTGGTTTGATTATTTATTTCGAAATTTTCCTCATTATTATTTTGAATTAACTGATTAAAATCTTCGAAATCTACTTCTGGAGTATTATAAGAAGGTTCTAAAAAGTGTTCGGTTAAATA